CAAAAAAAAAAAAAAAAAAAAAAAAAAAAAAAACACATCATAGTAAAATTAATACCTTCTCAGCTTCGCATCGAAGCTAAAAAATAATAATAATAAAAACATCATAGTAAAATTAATACCTTCTCAGCTTCGCATTGAAGCTAAAATTTTTCTTCTTAATTCTAAAATGTTTATACATCTTAAATTAATGATCAAGAGGTATTAAGCAGTATTAACAAAAAAAATTCGATTTTGCATTTCTTTCAATAAAATAATGTTTAATATAAATGAGTATTAATCGTAAACAGATTATTTTGTTTTTTATATAGCATAATAAATGTCAATTGATAATACTTTATTTGATTGTGGTAAACTGGGTGTTATATGTACAATTTTGACCACGCGGATAAGTGAAGAGTGAATGTGTCAAACGTTCTATGTGCCAAAAACATATTTGTTCAGAAAACACAAAAAACAATGGTAACATGGGCATGTCTCACATATCGAACACCATCTATGAATGCAATTTTGTACAAGTAAAAATTTAATTGACATTTGAAACACATACAAGATTGTGGCCTTTGGCACATAGAACATAAATCAGACATAAAACAATTTTTCACTTTTTTGGCACATAGAACGTTTGACACATTCACTCTTCAAGTGTCTTCGGAAAGTGTCAAAATAATAACTATAATGTAACATTCACCGATGAAACACTGACCAACGAGTAGATGGTCAAGTCCCCTTTTATATTTACATTGTGCAGTAAACTTTTACTTTCTAGTAATTATAATGTTAAATATAAATTTCTTAAAACTAAAACTTACAAAATAATCATGGGTTCATGATACGATAATTAAATCAATAACTTCGGAAAATTTCATAATCTGAGAATTTTTAATTAAATTATAAAAAAAGTTATTTTAAGAAATTTAAGTCCCCCCCATTGACATACCTTTCTGTACACTTTTTATGACACATATTATATATATATATTCAATATTTTGGAAATTTTATGCATCATATTTCAATTTAAAAGTTATTGAGCATAATTAATATGAAAAAATAATTAAAAAATAAAATATGAGCGATTAAACTTAAATACTTGGTTAATATTATTTATGCATAGGTAAATTTAACAGTATACTATTCTAAAATAAATGAAATATTTGAAGGTGGCTTAATAAGAAGAAAACCATTTATGTATATTTAATAGTTCATAATAATATATTTTTTTATTATTATATATCTTGATATAGTAATACAAATACAAAATAAATATACTATAAAAGCTCTATGATATTGGGGCACAGCTTCTATAATGATTTTTATTATTAAGATTTCTTAACTCCTCCTAATTAAAAAATAATTTATCTGCCACTACCTTTTGTATGAAATCATTTATAAAAATATTTAGAGGCCAACAGTTTAGTCTTGTATTGTAGTACCACATTTTATGTCAAATTCCTATTATTGATTCTTAGTATAGTAAAAAATAAAATAAAACTTCAATGAAAAAGTAATTACAAAGAGTTAAAATTACAAAATCTTTCATTATATCATAAAATGCAATTAACGTATATCACAATCACTGTTTAAAAATGTACATCACATTTTAATTTAATAATTTAAACAATATTTAAAATACCACGTATATTTCAATCAATAGAAGCACTCAAAATTTACGCTATCTATCAGCATAATCACCTGCGTCCAGCGCATTGTTTCCCTACGACCATTCATGATAAAATTTGAACTGCCAAAATTGTGTACGATTAGGTTTACCTATGTGTATTCAATCTATGATATAATCAGGTTACTTCAGTAGATAACTATTATCAAAATATATCATATGTAATTTCTTATCACGAATGAGATAAAAACGTACGATATATTTAGCGAATTATATGATCATTTTTGAATTGTTAATTGTACGATTCATATATTTTTTTGATTGGTAATCCTGATGCACTGTGTGCGGTTGGCTGTCAAACAAACCAGATACTGACCATTGGACCGGTTGACTTATATATGAATTAATTTTATGATTGGGGACATACTTAATACCTACTGCATATCTGACCGATTGATGTTAAGATAATCAATATAAATAGTACTACTTTTGTAACATTACAATTAATTGGTAAAAAAAAAAATTCTGATGTCTGAAAAAGGTATGTATCTATAGAACTTGTTTAATTATCAGCAAAAATATATTTATATAAAACGTAAAATTTTTAGTTTCCAAGAAAAAAAAAAATGTGTCACAGAAAGATTACCTAAAGAAATATCTTTCTGGTGGGAAAAAGCAGAAAGATAAAGTAAAAATTCAAAAAAGGTTTGTTATACTACCTATAGAATAAACTTTATTTTTACTTAATATTGTTTGTGAACTACAATTAATGCTTTTACAATTTTTAAGTATGTAGTTTAAAGATGTCTGTCATGTATTCCTCATCAAATATTAGAATAAAATAATTATTCTAACTAATGTTTTGATCTTGAACAAAACAAAAAAAAATTTATGGCATTTTATAATAACTTTGATTTATAAAATTTTTTTTTGACCCTTACTAATGTAGTATTATTATAATTATAGAGTACAAATAATTGATGACAACATTGATTGTGTTGATGAAGACATTGACACATATCAAGGTAGTGATAATAATGTAGCAGGATTTGACCCTACTGATGAATTTGCTCCTCAAATAGTAGGTGTTGTTGATGACAGACCTAAAGATGTTAAAATATTGGATTTGTATAAAAATAAAAATCGTTGGAAACGAGTTGGTGAAGATAGTGATATTGAAGAAGAAACTACTAAGATTGACCAAGTTCAAAAATATGTTGAAAAAATCAATAAATCTACATTAAATGATTTATTAAATTCTAAAAAGGTATACTATTTAGCTAGTTAAATTTAAGTGACATGAATATAAAAAAAAATCACATTAGGATTTAGAGATTCTTACTAGTAGCAGACTACTAATAATCTCTACATTTGTTAAGCACATAGTTATCACAAGTCTAGAAAACTTAAAAAAATCATGAAAATTTAGGAGATTTTAAAATGGTTACAGAAATATCAAGGCTTATAAGAATTTTGCCTGAAATCTAGAATAATTGATTAAACTTTTTTTTTTTCATAATCTTTCAAAAAGAAAAATTTTTGGTTTAAAATTTTGTAGCCTTATAAATTTAGAGGAGGATACATACTTACAAATCCTCCATAAATATTCTCCTGTCAAAATATATATAAAATACGGTATACAAACTACCCCTTAAATCTATGTTTATATCTCTGAGTTAGATGGATGTATATAAAGAGTTGTTTTTGACTGTTATTATTGAGTTGGGTACAACCCCTAACTATTCCTGAAATTCTAATAAGTAAACAAAAAACCCAGCACAGGGGGGTCGCGGCACAGTAGTGACGTGACATATTTGGATCAAGTATAATGATATCTGACAGTGATTAAAATCACTATCATAAAAAACGCTTCGATGCAAATCTTTAGATAGTGTTTAATTTTAAAAAATAGGTGGATTATTCCAAAAGCAACATGATCTGCTAGTTCGTTATTAATATCCTGATTCAGATAAAGTATGTCGAATGAAAAAGGGATTATTAAAAAATATTATTTCTCATAAAAAAATAATGTTGATCCATACACTTTTCAATATGTCATAGCATTATAAAGTTAAAAATTTAAAAAATAAAATCGAGAATTTTCACACAATAATAGCATTCGGTAGCCATTTTCACCGTGAAGATAAAATAAAGTTCGAAATTTTTTTTTTGCATAATAAAGTACATTACATTAGCTTTAATTTAAGATATATTTAAAAGTGTCAGACCTTCCGGAACACTTTCAAAATTTAAGTTGAAAAAGTAAATTTTTTTTGAAAAAGTTGTCATTTTAAATCCCCCCTGTGGACAGTTAAAGGATCAGATATAACAAAAAAATATATCAAATGAAAAGTAATAATATCATGCATCTATATAAAAAAAAATTATATTCATATGTTCATTTTTAATTAAGTTATGGCAGTTTTTAGTAAAAAAAATTGAAAAAATTTTGAAAATTAGCAATTTTTAAATTTCTAATTTTTTTGGAGGTTTCCCCCATTTACGGGAACGAGGGAAATTTCTTCAATTTTGAAGGGTAATGTCTTCGACTAGATACAATTTGTGATCTTTTGACGTATTGTTGAAAGAAATCCGTTCGTTGAAAGCTGAGAAAAAGTGGTATCAGACACAAAAAAAAAAACACATCATTGTAAAACCAATACCTTCTCAGCTTCGCATCGAAGCTAAAAAAATAATAAAGGTGGTGATGAAATAACATACTCCCTTATAATATTTGATTATAAGTCAAGTAAGACTTTTTTAAACCTGACTGAAAAATCAAGGAAGTCAAGTAATTTAAAAATTATAAAGACAACCATTTCAATAAAAATATGTTAAAGAAAAATACTTTTAAAATTACTATAGCTTAACAAACATAGAGTTGATATATTTTATGTGTATATATTTTAAGTGATAGGTAATTTGTGATAGTGATTATTAAAAAAAGTACTATTATACTTTTGTATATAGTTTTTTAAGGTTTAAATGGATTTTGTAATTAAACATTAGAATATTTTTCAACTTAAACTTAAAGTTCTGTAAATACATATATTTAACTTGTCATAATTTCATTAACATTTGCTAATAATAATAAAAGTAAACAACTTTTAGAAATTACCATAAAAACTAATTAATGTAGACTTTGACTAATTTTTCTGAATAATAATATAAAAAACATAACTCTCTTACAATCACTCACAAATAACATGAGTTATAGCTATTTCTTTGTTTTGAAACATAAAAATATTATTTTTAGATTTAAAGTAAGTTAACAAGTATAATCTTTATACATATATTACTAAACACATTTTAAATTTAATTTTTAATAAATTGTTAAGCGCATTATTAAATTTTTTAGGTTAATGAAGAAATAGAAAATAATATACCAATTAAAAGAGATAGAAAAACTGGAAGAAAACGTGATCTCAAAAAAGAAAAAGAAGATGAAATGTTAAAAGAGGAAAAATTAAAAGAATATAAAGAAAAATATGCTGTTTGGGGAAAAGGGTAATATTTTATTGGTTTTTATCTTATATTAATTTTAATTTTTTGTATTCTATTAATTAATTTTTTTTTGTAGAGTAAAGCAAGTGCAAGATGCTCAAGAACAACATAACTATGAGATTCGTGAAATGCAAAAACCTCTGGCAAGGTATGCTGATGATCAAGATTTAGAAGAAATGTTAAAATCAAAAGTAAGGGATGGTGATCCTATGCTTGACTATATAAGGAAAAATAAAAAAGATGATGATGATTCTCCTGATGGCGTAAGGCATGGTAATAATAAATTTCTGTCTATAAATTTAATTATTATATATTTAATTGAATTTTAGTAATAAAATTAAATGAGTTAAATAAAGATTAATTAATTTAAGTGTGCATTTTTTAGTATTACTAGCTTGAAAATTAGCAAAATACATCATTTTTATAAACTATTAATAAATCAAAACAGACAAATGCCTGTTCTCAAATGTCACTCCTACCTGTAAAACTTTTTATTTTGAGAAAATAAACCATCCTAAAAGTAATCTTGGCTTAGCCACTTTATGTAATTTACTTCTGATTCAATACATTATTGCTTATTAAGTATATTTCATGGTTTTTATGGTCAAATATAATGTTTTTAATTAATATTTCCCAATTTTAAATAATGTTAGATAAAATTAAGTAATAACTTTTTCAAAATACTCCTTTAATTATAAATATTAAATATAATTTATGAATAATAATTTTTAATATTTAAATAATGTTTGTATTACAATTACTTTTAGAAATAAAAATGTTTCGAGGATTTTGTCCACCCAATAGATTTGGCATTCTACCTGGTCACAAATGGGATGGTGTTGATAGATCAAATGGATATGAATCTAGATGGTTATTACAACTTAATTCTAAGAAATCATTAGAGGATGAAGCATATAAATGGAGCAGTTCCGATTTATAATTTATATATATTATGTATATACATATACATATTTCATATGAATATATATAATATATTAATTTGTTGATTATTTATTTGATCATTTGTATTGACTTAGCTGTATACTATTAAAAAGAGAAATCAGTGATAATTTTTTAAGTTAGTTTTTTTTTATATTTTTGTATAAAAATCATTCTTGGAATTCTTTTATCTAGTTTACTTATATTATTAATATAATTATTCTGAACACTAATAATATAGAACAGGTGTAGTTCTTGAGGAAAGGGGCTGAGAATTCTTTCTTGAACTCTTACTGCCTAGTAAAATAAAATATAAAGTGAATGATTAACAATAATAAATTAATTTGATGTTTAACAACTTTTGTACTTGAAAAAATTCTTAATCTACAATTAATGGGGTAATTAGGATTATTATTTTAGAATAAATTTTTATGGCACAATATCTTTATTCTTCTTCCAGACAAAAAAAGTAGTATATTTACCGTGTTATTTTTATTCGGGAAACTAAATCTCTTAAGAAAGATGCCTAAAATTAATTATGATTAATTTGTAATTATAATTTATTTATAAGAGATGATTATAACCCCATAGTTATACTCCTGAATTATCAAACCGATAATTAGTTAAAGGTTTGTATAAATGTCCATGAGACCAGACCACAATGATCTGTAATTAAATTTTAGGCTGTCATAAATCCCATTTTAAAATGTACTCAAAATATTAAAATAATAATGAAAACTAAATTCTAGTGTTATTTAAATAAAATATGAAACTTCAAGGTTACATGTTTAACCAGTCGTTATTATGGTTTTTTCAACTATAGATATTGTTATTTTAATTTGATAGTCTTGTTCATTTATTCATTAAATTAAAATAATTTTTTTTTAACTTTTAAATTGAAAATAAAGGCCAAAGATATTAAAAAAAAATTTACCGACTTTAAAAATTGTAATTTTTTGGAAGATTTCCTTCATTTAGAGGAAACTAGGGAATAGCTTCAACTAGATACGATTTGTGATCTTTTGACGTATTGTTGACATAAATCGGTCCGGTGAAAGTTAAAAAAGTGAGGATAGACATAAAAAAAAAAATTGCATAGTTGGGACAATTAAAGTTGATATGAAGTAGATTAAAATCGCTATGATAAGAATAGTTGTTACTGTTATGGCAAACATGTATAAAAATTGTAGGCTTGATAGAAAACTTTTCAGAAGATAATTTGTTTTGTTAATAATAAAAAATTATCTACAAGAAATTTTCAATAGTTAAAAATATACTTTAAATAAATCTGCAATAGATTTTTTCTATAACCACTAATTTTTGACATTATTACTAATTAGTTAAAAACAAGTATTAATATAAAAAAAAAAGATAGGTTAATGAAATTCAACAACGTAACAGCGGACAATACTTTAGGTGAAACTAGGCACGGAATATTTTTGAATTTCAATATATTATAGAATCTGTAGGATATAACTATATCGGGGTTCGAATTTCGTGTAATACCACAGACTAGTTTCCGGACGGATTCCCAATGGGAATCTTAACAGAACTCCAATTTTCAGCTTCTTTCTATTATCTTAGGATAATAACCAGAGTCACAACATTTGTTTATTTTTATATTATATGAAAAAGACAATTCGGCATATCTTTTTATAAATTTGTATAGTCGTTTGAATAGTTACTGTACTATGAATAGTTTATTTAAAAAACAAACATCTGATCTTGATAAAGGACTTGTCGCTTCGTACAAGTGTCTTTATTGAAAACAAAAAAAAAAAACGTGTGGCACTCGGGGACTGCCACGGTAAAGCTATTGCATAGCATTTTTATCAACTTATGCAATTATAATATTTATGCAATATTTTTTTTTCTTTGATATTAATTCAAGTTACACTTTTTGAGCCAAGTGACCAATAAGAAAACAATATTTTTTCTTTTTAGCTCTTTCAGTTCTTCTTCTCTATAAAACGAAAATAGCAAGGTATAAATAATTAAGTATAAATAATGTAATTACCAGTGTTTGTAAAATTCTTTTTATAAAGTAATGCATTCCAAATCCCATTCCGCAATTAAAAAAAGTAATGCATTCCCATTCACAATTCCTTAAAAAAAAAGAATACATTTACATTCACATTCATCAAAAATTTTGAATCCATTCCATGCACATTCCATNTTCCCATTCACAATTCCTTAAAAAAAAAGAATACATTTACATTCACATTCATCAAAAATTTTGAATCCATTCCATGCACATTCAATTTTTTTTAGCTTCGATGCGAAGCTGAGAAGGTATTGGTTTTACAATGATGTGTTTTTTTTTTTGTGTCTGATACCACTTTTTCTCAGCTTTCAACGAACGGATTTCTTTCAACAATACGTCAAAAGATCACAAATTGTATCTAGTCGAAGACATTACCCTTCAAAATTGAAGAAATTTCCCTCGTTCCCGTAAATGGGGGAAACCTCCAAAAAAATTAGAAATTTAAAAATTGCTAATTTTCAAAATTTTTTCAATTTTTTTTACTAAAAACTGCCATAACTTAATTAAAAATGAACATATGAATATAATTTTTTTTTATATAGATGCATGATATTATTACTTTTCATTTGATATATTTTTTTGTTATATCTGATCCTTTAACTGTCCACAGGGGGGATTTAAAATGACAACTTTTTCAAAAAAAATTTACTTTTTCAACTTAAATTTTGAAAGTGTTCCGGAAGGTCTGACACTTTTAAATATATCTTAAATTAAAGCTAATGTAATGTACTTTATTATGCAAAAAAAAAAATTTTGGACTTTATTTTGTCTTCATCGTGAAAATAGCTACCGAATGCTATTATTGTGTGAAAATTCTCGATTTTATTTTTTAAATTTTTAATAAAATATTAATAACGAACTAGCAGATCATGTTGCTTTTGGAATAATCCACCTATTTTTTAAAATTAAACACTATCTAAAGATTTGCATCGAAGCGTTTTTTATGATAGTGATTTTAATCACTGTCAGATATCATTATACTTGATCCAAATATGTCACGTCACTACTGTGCCGCGACCCCCCTGTGCTGGGTTTTTTTTAATCAGAATTAAGCCTCAGAAAGGGGTTTTGACAAAAATATATCATCAACTAATTTTTGAAAGGGGTTAGTTAGGATAAAAATAATTTTTCAATCTTTGAACAAATAATTCAAATTTAATTCTATTTCATGAGTCTTTAGTTTGGTTTGGTAATATTTTCAAAAGTTTAAAACAGAATTTACCGGCTCTTAAGGAAATAATAGATACTATGCAAGAAGAGGTTGCTAGCAATAAGATGATTAAGTCAATTTCTTTGATCAATGATACTGTCTCCAAAAGAACTGATGAAATGGCAGGTGAAATCGAAAACAAACTTATAAATTATTTAAGAGAAAATAATTTTGCACTACAGATTGACGAATCAACTTTGACAGATAATAAAGCTATATTACTAGCTTACGTGAGGTTTATTAATGAACGTATAGAAATTGTCGAGGAAGTATTATTTGCTATAAGTTTGATCACTGATACCAAAGGTTCGTCAATTTTTCAAGCGATGGAGGAATATTTTACCAGAAAAAATGTCCCCTTGACAAATATTATTGCATGCGCAACGGATGGCGCTTCTTCAATGACCGGTCGTCATGTTGGGTTTATAGCCCACCTAAAAAACAAGGTCCCAGGTGTTATTTGTGTTCATTGTGTTATACATTGCCAAAATTTAGCTGCTAAAAACTTAAGCGGTGTCCTGTACGAAACCCTTCAATTCGTCATAAAAGCTGTAAATAAGATTAAAGCAAGTTTACTCAATGACCGTATGTTTCGAGAACTTTGTCATGATAATGTTGAAGATTTTGAAAGATTACTTTTGCATACTGCAGTAAGGTGGCTTTCCAAAGGAAAATATTTGTGTCGTTTTTTCGCATTATTTGACTCAATCATTGAATTTCTCGATAAAATTGATCCTTTCTTAAAAGATAATTTGAAGCAACGAAAAATTAAGATTGGGTACCCACAGATATTTTTGAAAAAATGAATATGTAGTCAATTTGAAGCTTCAAGGGAATAAGATGAACTTTATCAAAGCCAAAGGAATAATTTCCTCATTAATTTTTAAGTTTGATCTTTACAGATCAAACATAAATCGTCAAGAACTGAGTCAGTTTTCGAATCTCAAAATTCTAATTTTCACTGATCATATTTTGCAGCTCAAAAAAGACATGAAATCAAGATTTCAAGACCTACTTGAGTTACAAATCTGTAATTGGATTTTAGATCCATTTTCGTTTGAATTTGTGGAAGATCTCGAACCTCATTTACAAAAGGAGTTTATCGATCTTAAACACGATTGTGAGGCACAACTTGTTTTTAAACATGTTTACGAGTTTGCCTGGATCAAGCTTAAAGACACTTATCCACAACTATGGCAACAAGTTAAATTGTTGCTCCTCTTTTTCCCGTCAACGTATCTAGTTGAAAAAGGATTCAGCGTTGTTGTTCAGCTTTTGACGAAACAAAGAAATCGGTTGGACATTTGCAACAAATTAGTAGCTACTCATCAGGCTCAGGATAGTCATTGATAGGTATAATTTTTAAAAGTTTTTACTTTAATTAATAATGTTACAATATACTGATGAATAAATAAATATATATATATTTATATGAAGAAAATTTGATTTTGCATGAGGGGGGCGTTAGCAGTTAGTTATAACGATAAGGGAGGCGCTGAACTAAAAAAGGTTAAGAACCACTGCCCTAGGGGAATACTCATAAACAAACGTCTACCTTATACTCAATACATTTTACTCTATTCTCTTTTTGAATTTTTTTGATTTTTCTATAATTAAATTATAAATATATTTTTGTTACACTGATTCTGATATATAATATTTCTTGCAAAACACTTATCGTTCCCAACGTAGGGGGGTTCTCCTACCGGAATCGGTGGCCTAATAATGAGGATGGCCCAATGAGGCTTACGCGCCGTAGTTGTGTGAGGCTCGTAGGTCCCCGGTCTTGGGTAGTGATGGGCATAATCGAGATTATGAAAATAATCGAGATATTTCGATTATTGAAATCATATCTATTATATAATCGAGATATTCTGATTTTTTAAATAATATTGATTATTCTATAATCGAGTGATTATTTCTAATGATTTCTCGTTTATTATAAAAACAATGATTTCTTGATCTTGAAATGTATATAATCGAATAAAAGTTATTTCGAATGATGTCCATGAAACGATGAAACGAGAGAATACTATTTTTAAGTTTTTATTTAGCATAAATTATAGTCGAATTATTATTAAATTATTGACTTCGAGTCTTCTTATTTTCAACTCGTTCAATCGCTACTCATGACAACACCTTATCTGTCACATTTTTGGGAAGTATGTGACGATTAGAACAAAGTTTTGTCCTGAACTGGCTAAACTACCGAGTTCTGATTCTCTCACTAGTTGTGAATTTATGAAAAATCAATTAGGTGTGGAATCAGGTGTTTTAATTATGATGGTCAAGCCGGCTATTGCTACCTTATCTTATGTTTTTATTTTTAAATTTGTTATCGGTTTTTTTAAAATATAGGTAATAATTATTAAATAATAAAAATAACAACTTGTCTTTTATTTAAAGCACTTATTAATAATGCATTATTAATATATTATTGTTATTATTATTCCTAAATTATAGTTTAATATAATAATTATAAATAAACACCAACAAATAAAAAAAGCAAAATTAAATTAATAATTATTTACTAAAGGTATATTTATTCATATTTCGAATAATTTTTCGATTCTCTCGATAAATAATAATAGTTGATTATTCTTATCATACGAGCAGACGATTATAACTTCGAGTGATTTTTCGAGAGATTCACTCGATTATGAAAATGTCTCGATTACTAATCATTCGATTATCGAAATCATTCGATTATGCCCATCACTAGTCTTGGGTGGATCCCTAGTTATGTGAACCCTAGTTTAAAATATATAAATAAGACACATCATTAAAATGTATTGTAAATTTTAACAAAAAAATTATTGTAATATTATTGACGTAATTTTTTTTATAGATACTAAGTTACCAATTAATTTATTTATTAAAGAGGGGAAAAAATTAAAGTTTTTTTAAGTTTAGAAACAAAATGAATTCGCAACGGAACGTAAAGTTTTAAGGGTTTTTCCAATAGAAGAGTCGATAGATATTTTATTATTACTTAATGTGGCACACTGTTTTTATCCATTATTATCATGTCAACATCATTGTTTCAAAGATAACGTATACAATTAATTAACAATTTGAAATATAATTAAATATTATTTTAAACTATGTATTATCGTCGGTGTTAAAGTTTACTATTCGTTTTAATGCTGTGTCTTATTTATATATTTTAAATTACCTAAATTAGATTTCTACCATTATTGTTAATGTATTTTAAATTTTACATATATTTGTGTATTTAGAGTTAATTTTGTAATTTTTTTTATTTCATTTTAAATTTATTGCTTGGTTTTTTATGTTAATTTATTAAATTATAATTTCAAATAAAATACACATATTCAATTTTGTTTTTGTGACAAGAAAATTACCGATGTTCAAAATGGACTCGATACAGTTGTCCCAACAACTCAGTCAACCTGGATATGATCGCGAAAAAGTGTACCAATGGATTGTAGAACTCTGCAATGCAGATACAAGAGAAAATTCTCTTTCTGAACTTAGGTATGAAATTGTGTATATCATATGGAGAGATAAAAATTAAATTAAACTCTCAGTATTGAATGCTTATAAAATTATTAAATATTGTATATTTAATCTATCTTCCAGTTCTCGTCGTGATATCATCCATGATCTCGGCCCACTTTTATGGCATACAACTGGAACTATTGCTGCATTATTATTTGAAATTGTTTCTACCTATCAGTTTGTTAATCCACCTACAATGTCTTTGCAGCAAGTTACACGTCTATGTAATGCACTTGCACTTCTACAATGTGTTGGTGCTCATCCCCAAACTCGTTCTCAGTTCCTTAAAGCACAAATACCTCTTTACATGTATCCATTTTTACATAATGGTAACAAATGTAGAAACTTTGAACACCTAAGACTTACAAGCTTAGGGGTTATTGGAGCATTAGTGAAAGTAAATTTTTATCAAAATAAAATCCTTTCTCTGTATTATTTATAACTTATAAATTTTTTATTTATGAGTAAAAATTATCTTAGACTTAACATTAATTATTATGTTTTAGACTGAAGAACAAGAAGTTATTACTTTCTTGCTTACTACTGAAATTATTCCATTATGTTTGCGGATCATGGAAACTGGTTTTGAATTAACAAAAACACTTTCTACTTTCATTTTGCAAAAAATTCTTATGGATGACAATGGTTTGAGTTATATTTGTCAAACTTATGATCGATTTTCTCATGTTGCTTTAATATTAGTTAGTATTCTAGTATTTTTTTTTTTATCAATTAAATACAAATAAAATATAATAATTTTAGGGTAAAATGGTCTTGGCCTTAGAGAGAGAACCTTCAACCAGACTTCTTAGACATGTTGTGGGTTGTTATGTAAGACTTTCGGAAAATCCTAGGTATAATATAATATAATTTAGAAGTATAAAAATTTACATATTTACTAATTATTACGTTATTCTACTATAATTTAAATAAAGAGAAACCTTGAAGTTAAGAGGTTGAGATATGGAAGTTTCTTATATATACTTCGTTGTTACTTAAAAACAATTATAATTTGCCTAGTTTACATTACAAAACAGTGATGTACTTAAAGATGTCTCTCTCAAACAATTGTTTTATTTCATTTTTGAACTTAAGTGTTTATAGCAGATTGAAATTTGAAAAATTATTGTTTTATAATATTTAATGGATAAGTAGTTTTCTATTTTTTAGAATTATCATTTTATTTGTTATGTTTAGCGTTATTGTAGTTCATAATCTATTGATAGAATTCTTGTTTTATTTTTTTTACATTAAAACATAAAAACACTTTTTTTTTTTTACGCTTTTATTAGCCCATTAAAGGCCATAGCGTGTTCCCCCAATGGAGGAGGTTTCTTAACCATTATACTCTGGGATGGGTGGTTAGTCCGTTGCTGGAGAATGGGATGGCGACTCCAATTACTAAAATGATCTCTCGTTTGGTAAATGAAGCCACCTGTGACCGAGTTTCAAACCAGAGACAGTGCGTGTCAAGCATTGCCGCATTACCGACTCGGCCATACCATCCTACATAAAAAACAGCCTTTGAAAATATTTTATGTATGCTACTGTCACAAAAATCTCATTTTTCATGAAATAGATGCTATTTCATAGCATACAACCCTAAGTCAGGGCTCTAAACTAAATATTAAAAAACTATTTGATCTAATGTAGTGAAAACAAATATATTTTAAAACTTATTTATTAACCTATGGTTTATCCCCAGGACTAAATTTCTGATATATGGTTATTCATTTTATAATTTTTTAGGGCTCGAGAAGCTCTGCGACAATGCTTACCTGATCAACTAAAAGACATGTCTACATTTACCGACTGCCTTGCAAGAGACCAAACAATTGCTGCATGGTTAATACTACTTAAAAAGAATTTGGATTCTGCTTTGCCAATTGATGTGTCACCTGGTGTGCCTTCACTTGTTAAACCATAATCATACCAAATGTATTAATCTCTAAATGAAAATTTGATATGTTTTGATAATCATATCAATTAAATAATGAATAATAAATGACAATGTACTTATTTCTAGACCTTTGTATGATACATGGGTGGAGGTATTTCAGTAATTAAAATAAAAAGTAACCAAAGTCTGACCTGTTATGTTTTTAGTTTATTTGTGTAGCAAAATTTATTTCACAAATATACCAATAATGTAATAATGATAAATTAAAAATATCATGATATTTCATTATTGTTATAATAGTAGTTTAAGGCCTAATGCTTAAATAATTTGTAGTAAATTTTATATCCTATTGTTTCAAAGACTGTTGTATTTGAGGATAAATGTCTTTTTTAGCCATTGGTTTATGTTTTGGATTAAGTGTATAATAAATAAATAACATAGCAGCTGATAATCTTATTACTGAATCAGTATCTGAGTAATCTTTAATCCAATCCACTCTTCCCCATTTTGTACACTATATACATAACATAATATATTCAAATTGTAATTTTTGATAAATAAAGCATGTAATTAAAATTTATTTATATTCACTTGGTATTCTTCTTCTAACTTTGATAGTAAAACTGCATCATTTACAGTAATATCTTGATGTAAACAACAGATTGTTAAAATTAATGATTTTAATGTTTCAACAGCTTGTAACACGCCTATATGTAAAATATTTACATTTTTGTTTAAATTAATTAAAATTGAAATAAAAAATTTATCTCAAAACATTGAACTAATATTTTATAAAATATTTGATTATTGTTTTTTTTTTTTATTATAAAATACGAAATTAAATAATATAATTAAAAATTTTATCAAAGTTAAATAAACTTTAGATAGAATTAATTACTTAAATAACTAAAAGTAATCTTATTAGTATAAAATTAAATTTCAATTACCATGTAAGGCTGGAAAACCAAGTGATAGAAGATATTTTTCTACCATTTTTTTGGTGTAAGCATCAAGACAATTAATGTATATTCCTTTTGAAGGTTTTAAATTAGTTTCAAAATATTTATTAAAGTTATTGATTATGGGAAGCCACTTTTCATTTAAGAGTTTTTCTAGGTCCTTGTCATTCTAATTAATTGATTTAATAATAACAAATTTAATATAACTTTATTAGAAAAAAGTAAATAAATTAAAGAGTAAAAACTAATAAGATCAAGTTCACAAAAAAAAAAATGATATACTAGGTTACACTTTTATCATGAAACACTTATTTATTCAAAAGTAAAAATGAGGCAAGGGAGCTGCTACTTTTATCACTACACATTGCTCAGCTATACTCTTCCATACTCGGCTTACCATAAGGGTACAAATATGATGAGAACTTATGAAATATTGGTCTAAATTTTGTTACCAATCGCTCATTTCAAATTAAATTATTATTTAATAAATAACCTAGTTAATGATGTATGTTACATTTGAAAAATTAAAGTTGACCCCATTATTTGGTATAAGTAACAAATATAAAAAATACTTCATTATTAATAAATTGACAAAACATGTAACTAAAAGAAGAAAATATATATAATTATCAACATTACTTTTCAGTTATCAACATTTTGATTAGCGGCTTTAGTAAAATAAACCACTCAGTATAAACGAAAGCCACAATTTTTATTTTTAACTATCCAATTATTAAAAAACTTAATTTTTATGTTTTAATACACAAGTAGAAACAACAATGATGTAATAATTTAATTTTAAATATTTTTATTGATTATATTGTACAAATAACAGGTTTAGAAAATTAAATAATAAATTGATTTTAATTAATTTTATTAAATTGCTATAATAAATTAAAACTATGGGAAATTCCTTTTGAAAACATTGAAATAAGTTTGATCATTAGTTGTTAAAGTATTTTCAACAGACAGAATAAATGAAAATTAATTATACTAATTCAAGCATGTTGATTTATTTTGTACTAACAATTTAAATAATGAAGTAACTTTGTTAACTAAATCATTAATTCATAATTTTGAAATTCAATTTTTTTTTTCATATTCAATTTTTTTATTTTTGAATAAAATAAAATTTTATTTATTATATCTATTTTTGAAACTACTTGTTTTTTACTATACTATTTATAAAAATTTAAATACAATAGAAATCCAGTAAAATAATATTTTTCAAATTAGTATTTCTAATGAACTATCTGAAAGTATTAAAATCACAGTTGTAAACCCTTAGCTACATATTTGAAACATTAAAAACAAAAATTAACATTTCTATAAAAAATTATATATTTTTTGACTTTAGAGTTTGATTACTTATATAGAATAAGTGACTAGAAAGTTTTTCTTATTTTAGTCATATATTACATTTAACAAGCTTTAATTTGAAATGATGTAAGTATTCCATTACTATTCAAAATATTACAAAATTGACTAATTTAAAATTGTATAAAATTGAAAATAAAAGAATATAATATGGTTATGCCCCCTATCAGTACTTTAGTAAGACTTTCCAAAAATATGCTGATGTACTTGTTTCAAATATTACCACTAAAAATGTTATTTTGATATAAACATTATTCAAATAGTTAGTATAATTTAAATACAACTATTATATCCGCCTAAAATTTTTATACGATTTTTATTTCCCCACATATAGTACCTTAATTAATGATTGAATATTTAAAAAAAAAAAAAAAAATACATATACTTTACTGGTAACACAAATGTCCTAAATGTTATGAAAACCAATTTTGCTCATAATAACTTAAACTCATTATATATATATATTTTTAAATATCTTTAATAAAATTTATTCTGATGAATATTTTTGTGCAGTTGTCAAGAAGTTATTTCAATATAAATTGGAAACTAAAATGGTAGCATAGTAGGATTGACACATTGTTGAAAGAAATTGATTCGGTGAGAGCAGAGAAAAAGATTTAGCCTGTCAAAAAAATTTAACTATTTTATGTCAATGGTTGGAACGTCAGTAATAATAAAACTATCCCATTTCTTAAAAATATTGATTAATAAAAACATATTAGCGATACATTACATCTGAAATAAAGAAGACAGTATCTGTTTCTAAATAAGACAGTATTTGTTGTGCAATATCTTTTTCACAATGTTCATTAGGATTATCTACTGACAAATAACATAATTTTGTCTGAAAAAATTATAAATTAAATTTCTACCTTAAAATGATTTTTAATAACAGCATAAAAAAAAATTTAAAACAAAATTTATAAAATGTATAAATACCAAATGCATTGAATCAGTTTGTATAGATTTTTCTTGTAAATTCCATTCTTCAGCAACAGCAAGTGCTAAGGCTTTGCTATTTATTATCATTTCTTTACCCAAGGGTGTCTTTAATTTGCTATTATCTAATAATACTCCATATGACCCATTATTTTCAACAATATTTGTAGTTTTGTAAAATTTACCTAGATAAAGAATTATTTTAATTCAATTTACTAAAAATAAAAGAAATTCAAGCAAACTCGTAAAAATTAAATATATATAGGGTCCTTATTATTGAAACTTATTCATTTTCATCTTGAAACCATTTCTAAGTGTTGTTTCAATTTTATTAATTTATTTGAATGCAATATGCATTTATTGTAAGATAGATGAACTATGCCAGAAACATTTGAGGTGTGTACTCAACAACTTTCTAATGAATGGTGTAGTAATACATAAAGGACAAATATATGTTTTAATTATATGTTATTTATGAGGGATGATGTGTCCGATTCTGTTATATGGCAGTACTTAATGTACATTACCTCAGATTTGAAACTTGTTTACTCGGTTTCATTTACTAAACGATAGGTCAGTTTGATAATTGGAGTTGCCATGATTCCTTCCCTGGAGACGAACTAGCCACCCATCTTGAAGTATCAATGGTTAAGATATCTCTTTCTTTAGAGAAACCACTTATGCCCTTAATGGGCTTAAAAAGCATATATATGTTTTTTTAAGTTTATATCATTTTCTTTGCATTTTTTTGTTTTCAGTCATTTTTGTTCATTAGTTTCAAAGTTATACAATGGGACATATTACTAGTCCATGTTTTTAATTAAAGTCTTTATGTAAAAAACACATATGATTTTTTAATAAATGTCTACATTTATAAAACAAATAAATTGGATTTAAGCTTTTTTAGTCTCATTGAATTTTTATATGACTTAAAATTTCTTAGCATTTTTAAGATTTTATGAAAATATTAAATTCAAAAATTTTTCCTGGGAGACGGACTCTTAGAACTGACACGCTCGAAAAAAAAGTTTTGCCCATAATTTCAAAAAATTTTTAGCAAAAAAAGTCTTTAAAATTAAATTAACATTATTATGAACAGTAACAAATATTCAAAATAGCTCTACTATCATTAACAAATTTAAATAGTCAGGGAGCTCTTAAAATACAAGAGGGCCTGGAGCTCTCGCGAAGTATATCTTGTTCAAAAGATCAAGTAGATCTTTAAATATCAAACAAATGTAACTGTATAATACTAGTTTATTAAGAGCAGAATATTAAAAATATGGTTTACCTATGGCGTAATTCCTTAAAAAAATATTAGAATTAAAAAGATCATTAGCAAAATTGAATTTCTTCTTCAATGAATTTCTTAGTACAGGTCGAATTAAGTGTAATATTTGAAACATTTTATTTGTGCCAGGTTTTTTTCTAAAAAACAATAATGTAATTAAATAAAAGTTTACCAAAAGTATATAAGGATTAGTACGTATCTTGAGTTGTTTATATGATGAGGTGCACTATCCTCAAAGTTTAAGTGTTAGTATAAAAAACAATCATCATTAATAACAATTTAACAACAGAACTGATACAACCAAAAAAAAAAAAATAATAAGTTTTTAGTTGCTATCTTTATTTAATCATGATATTCAAATTTAAAAACTTAAGATAGTGATTTATAAGTAAAAAACATCAAATATACATAAGAAATAATACATCTTTAAATATTCAAATTGACTTAAAAATATATATATTTAAGTGGGTTTTTATGATGCACTTTGATTTTATAATTACTTTAAAAAAAAAAAGAAAAATACCTTTTATATAAAAAGCAAACGTTTCTACAAACTAATTTAACATAGATTAAAAAATTAATTTTTTAAAGTAACTTATAACTTAACTTCACAAGTTAGAAAAAATTACTAGCTTGCCCAGCTTTGGCAAGTTGAACTATAATTTATGGAAGAAGATCAAATTTAATTTTCCATTCTCAAAAAATATATTTTTTTAAAGATGTTTATAAACTTCATGTGACTTGGCGAGAAGTAAAATTGGAATTTTGTGGAGGCTTGGCGAGCATGTCATGATTCTTAGACATTATAATATTGTACAAGAATAAATAAAGCATTACAATAAATGAAATAAACATTTCTTGTTCTATTTCCTCACCTTAATCCCAACTACTTTGGGTTGACCACCCTTATCCTAAACTTCCACTTGACACAATCTTCCACATCATCTACGCTCACATCAGTCATCCTCATATTGCATTCAATAATATCCCTCCATCCCTTTTTTCGTCTTCCTCTACCTCTTCTTCCATCAACATTAATTTCCATAACTGTTCTTACTGCTTTCGATTTCTCTCTTATCAGAAACTTGGAAATAAATAATCAAACTTTATTCATTGATCCTGTTATTAAATCGCACAATGCTTGCTAGTACTCACCTAATATTTATTAAGTTAAAAAATAATGTAAAATTAAGGATATTTAGATATTATTAAATGTTATTTTGCACATTATAATCGTGGAAGCTGGGCAACTGATAACAGTTTAGCGGCCTTATCTTATGGTATCTTTCATTTTATTTAGTATTTTTTTTAAAAGTATTAACATATCAAATAGTTCGTTTTTTATTATTTCTATAAAAATTAATCACAGTTATTAAAATGACTAGAAATCAAATAGGATGTTTATGGAGAGATCAAATTGTTGGTGAACAATTAGAAATAGGTTTCATTAACAATCTTGAAGTTACTGAAAAGAAAAAAAATTATACAGACATGGATAACCCTAATTATATTCCCAAGTAAACATAATTGCATTATTATAATTATTTTTAGGCTTAAAAAAATAAAAAAAATAATTATTTTAGAAAATATTATTGAGCTGTGTAGATAGATGTGTTTACATACATTTTAAAATTTTAAAGTTCTAACAAAATGTGAAGGAAGTAATGGTCTGTAGGTAGAATTGAGAATTAAAAAATCATGTTAATATCATTGTAAATATATTTAAATAGATATAATTATAAACGAGCATTATGCTGTAAGGAACAAAGAAAATTAGTAAGTTTGTAGAAAAAGAAATATGAAAATAAGGAATGAAAGACAAAAAATTCACTCAATTTGTAGTTATATATACATTGGTGAATATTAGACATACATCAGTAATATTTAATATGAGATAAAGATATTTTATAGTCTTAGAAAGAGAGTAGTATGATCATCAACAACAATAGGAGAAAGCATTAGAATAATATTCTTGGAACATTAATAAACTTTTCTTTAGAGTGTATTGAAAATAAAATAAAGAACAAAGAATTAGGTAAAATTGAAAATGAGCTTTAATGAGTGATTTATTACAAGTAATATCTAAATAAATATTTACAGATTTAACTTACCAAAAATTTGTTATTGATAACTCAATTTTTGTTACAGAGAAAATGAAAAAAAAAGAAAATTGTACACTGCTAATGAGTCATTAATGTATGTATTAGTAACATTTGATGTAATGTTGTTAAATATATATATATTTGTTTAACAGTGGAGTGCAAAAAATTTCAAAATACAAATTTTGTTTTATATTGTGGTTTGTTTTAAAATTAATTGTCACATTAATTTTAATTTTTATTAATTTTGTAACATTATTCCGAAAACTAATAATTCACTAAATTATCCTTCATTGGATGTGTTAATCCAATATTTAAAGTAAAAAAAACTCCCAAAAGAGGATATTACAATTTAGGAATAGTAGTATCCCTATTGAAAAATCTATCTAACCTAGTCTATATAAGTATAGAAAAGGATGTTTTCTATTTATTTTATTTGAAGTATATTTTTACACTTATAAACTGTCAATATGCATTAAACCAAATTTAATTTTTGAGTTTATTTTTGCTCTCCTGAAAAAAATGTTAAAATTTTTGTATTGGTAAAACACTTTTAAAAAAATATTTATATTTAATAACAAATAAAGTTTATTTCATTATTAGTATTATACTTTTTTTTATAAAATGATTAATTTTAAAAATTTTATAGTGTTACTATCATTTTATGTCTTAAATGGTTCACTTAAAGTATTGCATAAAAATATTGCAACAAGATTTAAAATATTTTAAATAAAATAAATATTTAATTTATTATCATAACAAATTTTTTATAATAAATTCATATGCATGAAAAAAATTATTAATTTGTGTAATTTGAATTTTGAGACTTAAACTTATATTTCTAAATATTTTGCTTTTTGAGCAGAATATTGGTTTTGAACAAAAAATTAACAATTATTTTTTGTAAAATGTACAATTTCTTATATTTTTTATTACAAACATTTTTTTAATATTCGTAAGCTATTAAAAATAGTAAGTGAATTAAAAAAAAAAAAACAGTCAAATTTAAACTTTGAATTTAAGTTGTCACATGTTTATATTCAATAGTTAAACAGTCATCTCAAATTTTGTTAAAATCGTTTTTCTTTTATTGGTTAGAATAAAACCGCCAAAGAAGTCCAAAACTCATCAAATTTTTGATAATGTATATATATTTTTTAACAATTGATTTTACGGTAAAATATTCTTATTTTAATTTATAACACTTTATAGGGATCAATCTAATTTAAATAGTTTCCATGATAAAAAGAGAAAAATTAATCAATGTAAAGAATTAAGTAGAATAAGATGTAGCATTGATAATAAACTAAAACCAAGGATATTACCTCTAATTGAATGTGAGAATAAGACTATTGACCAATTTTTAGATGAATTGTGCAAAAATTTACATGAAACAAATAAGACATTAATGTGTAAGTTTACTGGAGTATAACTACATTAAATATTATTTTTTTAAGAATATAATTTCAATATCCCATTTCAAAACTGCATTAATGAAAAATTTAGATTTTGGGTTTTAATTTCTAAATTGTAATTCATTATTTAAAATTTGAAGTTTATAAAACCAATTCAATATAGCTAATTTATATTCAAAATGTAGATGTTTTTAAAGTTGAACTTTACATTGGAGCTTACATGAAAATTCTTCTTTAAATAATTTTACTGTAAAATTTGAGTTTTTGTTGTTTTGAATTGTGGTCCCAATTTCTACTATCCTTTTTTAATTTAATGATATTTCTCCAAAATTTAATTAGGTATACATTTTAATTATTAAATTTTATTAGCCAAACTTATTGGTCAATAAGTTTGAAATATTGAATATATTTAAAAATTAAAGGTTTTATTTGATTAATAACAATTAAATCACTTTCCCTAATTAATATATATATATATATATATACTATATAATTATTATATTAACATATTAATATATTATATACTGTTATTAAAGCATCATTACTATCAAAAATTGAAAAAAATCTATTATTAGAAAAGTATGAAAAGACACGTTTAATTGAAGCTAATGGTGGCCAGTTAATAAAGGTAGTATGCTTTGTTTATTTATTATTATTATATATATATAATACAAATATTTAAATATAATATAGTAGATCAATAAATTTGATATTAGCATGAGAATAGTTAAAAAAGAAGAAATAAATCTTTATTCTAAATCTTGTAAATTTATGACAAGCTCATTTTTATTATCAATTCCTAATCAATACAGAAATTTTATTAAATTTTCTATCTGGTTGGGATATATAACTATAGTAAATATATATTTATTATAGTTTAAAAAAAAAAACGAAAACTTAAATTTTGGAATTTTGTACCATTTTTACCAAAGGAATATAATAATTAGTTAGTTATTTAATTATTTATAATATTAAAAACTTTTTTAATATTAATTATGTTAAATAATAACTATAATTATATAATAAACGATGAATAACGCCTTCGAAAAAGTATTATAGCTAATTATTATTTTATTTTAATTCTATTCTGTATTTTAAAACTTGCATAACGGTTCTTTATTGATCTGATTTTCATGAAAAATTAATTTTCAAATGTCAACCTCAAATTATTTTTATATCATTAGATTTATTCAATTGAAAAAAATGTTTTTCTTTTTTATAGCCTTCATTAAAATAATAACTAGCTCAACAATTATTAAAAAAAAAACCCAGCATAGTGGGGTCGTGGCATAGTTGGGTCCAGTATAGATGATATCTGACAGTGATTAAAATCACCATCATAAAAAACGCTTCAATGCAAATCTGTAGATAGTGTTAAATTAAAAAAAAAAAATTTGTCAAAAAGTAGGTCAAATGACCAAATGAGAGCTGAGAAAATAAATGATAGCTACAAAAAAAAAAAACCACATAGTAAAATAATATTAATATGAATTTCTTCTCACGAGAGGAGACTACAGTAATGGAATCCTTGATATTTATTGAAGTTATTGAATCTAAATGAGATAAAAATCAAATGAGTATAAAATACAAAACCTAGAATTTTAATAGAAAAATAGCATATTTTTGAATACGGTAGCCATTTGCGCATAGAAGATAGGTCGTCGGGACAAAATTTTTTTTTTTCATTTTATAGTACATAAAATAAGCTTTAATTTGATATATGTTTAAAGGACCCAGTATTTCAGGAACATTTTCAAAAATTAAGTTGAAAAAGTTAGTTTTTGTAAAAAAGTTGCTATTTTAAATTCCCCCCTATGACCAGAATAAGTGTTAGATTTTCAAAAAAATGATATCAAATGAAAGGGAAATATCTAAGGTTTTAGTATAAAAAAATATTATTTTGATTTGTTAATATTTGAAAAAGTTATGGCAGTTTTAAGTACAAAAAACATCCTTATAGAAGGTGATTTTTATCGCAAATATTACATTTTTTTTTTAATTTCGACAGCAATTTGCACATAGTAGATAAGGTGTCGGGACAAATTTTTTTTTTATTTTATAGCTTTGCATCGAAGCTAAAATAAAGTAATAAGTATAAAAATAATATTACTATGTTATAATGCTACAACAAATGCGACAATAACTATTAGTATATTCAAAAGTAGAGAGAAATTAAACATTATTAAAATAATTGTTAATAGAGCTTTTATGTACAAACTTAAAAATTAATAAATTGATATTTTAGCTTCGATGTGAAGCTGAAAAGGTATTATTTTTACCATGATTTGTTTTTTTTATGTTTGTTGCCATTTTTCCTCAGCTCTCACTGGACAGATATCTTTCAACAATACGTCAAAAGATCACAAATCGTATCTAGTTGAAGACAATACCCTTAAAAATTGAAAATTTTTCCCTCGTTTCCCGCAAATGGGGGAAGTATCCAAAAAAATTACAAATTTAAAAATCGGTAAATTTTGTCATTTTTTTTCAATTTTTTTTCTTATAACTTCTATAACTTTTTCAAAAATAAACAAATCAATATAATTTTTTTTTATACTAAAACCTTAGATATTTCCCTTTCATTTGATATCATGTTTTTGAAAATCTAACACTTATTCTGCTCATAGGGGGGGATTTAAAATAAAAAAACATATATCAAATTAAAACTTATTTTATGTACTATAAAATGAAAAAAAAAAAATTTGTCCCGACGACCTATCTTCTATGCGCAAATGGCTACCGTATTCAAAAATATGCTATTTTTCTATTAAAATTCTAGGTTTTGTATTTTATTTTATTTTAAAATATCTTATTAGGAGAAAACATGGTGAAAATAGGTACCGTATTTAAAAATATGCTATTATTGTGTTAAAATTCTTGGTTTTGTATTTTATTTTATTATAAGGGGATTACACTGATTTTCATAAATATTATATCAATCTAATTGACATAGTATAAAAAGTTAAACATATTAAAATTTTTTTGTTTCTTTGAAGTCGAGAAAAATAACTTTAAAATTTGAACTAGCTAAATTTCCATTTTTATTAAGTGACAAATGCGACGTACGGTTTCTGAAACGGTAACACTTGGGTCTTTCACGCCTGTGGCACTGAATTTTTTCTTAATTCTTTTTGAGTTAGAAAACAATGTTTAAATCATTTGATTATTATCTCATTTAGATTCAATAACTTCAATAAATATCAAGGATTCCATTACTGTAGTTTCCTCTCGTGAGAAGAAATTCATAATAATATTATTTTACTATGTGGTTTTTTTTTTTTTGTAGCTATCATTTATTTTCTCAGCTCTCATTTGGTCATTTGACCTACTTTTTGACAAATTTTTTTTTTTTAATTTAACACTATCTACAGATTTGCATTGAAGCGTTTTTTATGATGGTGATTTTAATCACTGTCAGATATCATCTATACTGGACCCAACTATGCCACGACCCCACTGTGCTGGGTTTTATTTTTTTTAAAGTCGAAAAAGTAATTATTTAATTTGAGTTAGCTTAAATAGCCAATTTTTTTATTTGAGATAATGGAAAAAGAGAAAAAAAAATAAATAGAATAATTAAAGATTAAATGACAAAGCCAGAACTTCTCAGGAAAGATATGATAGTTATAATTATAATGGAAGAACAGGAATTAAGAGTATTACCTATAGAAGGGGGATTAATATTGTGGGTGGCTAAGAGGCTAAATAGTTTATTTGTGCTGTTAATTAAGGCAGGACAATTAAAAAGAAGGGAAAAAATCGCATAGAGCTTCACTATCATGTAGGGGACAGAAGGGAATGTAATTTAAAGAAAGATGGAATGCATGGTAAGGAAGAAGATTATGACCTAACCTCCCGAGTCTTGAATACTGAGTAATGATATTTCTGGATAAGTCAAGGTTATGAAACCATGGAAAATGAATATTGGAAGGAGATATCGAGTGATACCAACATACCGTTTTCAATTTTATTGTAGCCCAACTGTCCTGTCAGGCTTGAAAAACTGTCTGTCGAAAGAGGCGAAAAATGTCAGAAGCGGGAATGTTATGATTAAAAGAAGTAAAGAAGGGGGAGGTAGAAGTAGCAAGACGGTCAGCTGTTTCGTTACCTAATATTCTGGCATGACCCGGCACCCAGTGAAATAAAATAGATTTATTCTGGGGGATCAAATCAAGGAGATGAGTGATCTAATAATAAGAATGTATGGAGAAAATGGATTAGATGTGATGGCAAGTAGGCAAGATAGAGAATCAGAAAAAATAGCAAATTCATTAATTGAAGTAGAAGATATAAAAATGAGAGCATGAACGATGGCAAGGCATTCCAAGGTAAAAGAAGAAGGATGGAGTACAGCTCAGTATGAAATATTGAGTTCAGGAATAAAGAAAAACAATCCGCCGAGTTAGTTGTTACAGAACCATCAGTGAATATCAAGCATTTAGTTGGAAAATTAGATGAAATATATCTTTAAAGAGATTATTAACAGAAGTGACAGGAAGAGAACGGAGGATTGAAGGAGGGAAGCTGAGAAAATATGTTAAAGTATATACTATGGGAGCTAGTGTAAGGGCAGATAGAAGACAATCAAATAAAGGTAATTTGGAGTATGACTTGTAAATGCGACACATCATGGAGGACTTTGAAGAGCTCACTGAGGCCAAAATTGGCAGCGATTTAGGCACCTAGCGCCAACAATTACTTAATTCAGAGTATAAAGAGTAGATATGATAGTATGGGGTAGAGAAAGATTTTAGGAGAAATTTATTAGCAAACAAGCAACAGCAGATTTCTAGGGGGGGGAGGAGCACTCAACAAAAATACTATGGCTTAGGGTAGACTTTAGATCATCAAGAATGTTGTGCAAGCATGCGGCTAAAAAGGAATTTAGTTTTATCTATGGGTATAGAAAGCTGAAGAAAATAAAAAAAAGCCGTATTCAATTTTAGCACAGATAACAGATTTAAAAATGAGGAGGGATGAGAGCCCCAGTATAATACAATACCGGTAATAAAATGTAAGAAATTTGACAGCTGTCAAGAGAATGGAATAGAAATATGGAAGCCATCTCAGCTTAGGATCCAGTTTGAGACCTAAATAAGTGATACAATCAGAGGGGGGATGGTTATCCCATCAAGAGTAATTATGAGGTAAACGGATGCTAAGTGATTTCTAGTAAAAATTATTAGCTGGTTTTTCAATGGGGCAGTCTCAAAATAATGTATTTGAATAGAGTTAGAGAGGGCGGCAAGTGAGTTATTAATGAAGTTGAGGGCATTGTAAATGGATATATGAGGAGAGAAAAGGGCAATATCGTCAGCATAGTCACGTATCCTTTGGTATTCAAAAAGTCACTTAATAGACCCAAAGATCTATATTTTTTAAAAGCTTTAGTGTGCTCATTAATAGTAGGAGGAGAGAGACCACCATATAGGAGAGGAGGGAAATGACTTTTTATTTTTTTTAATTAAAGGAACGGACAAATTAACAGATCTAATAATTGTAGACACAAACCAGTTGTAGTCCTCAATGTGAGAGGAGGAGGAGAAATTAACGGTGAAAATGGCTATGTAATTTTGAAAAGATGGCCAATCAGCTTTCAAATAAATAAATCTGTTAATAGATAAGTAAGAGAATGAGGGTGAGGTAGTGGGAAAATTCGTATGGGAGATAATAATGGGAAAATGATTACTCCCATGAGTGCAGTCAAGGACAGACTATGACAACGACCACAAGAAAGAGGGAGAAAAAATGGTAATGTTAACAGCAATATCCATTTGATTTGGGCATGTAAGAAGGGTAGGAATCCCTGTATTGTTAAAAAAAAATCTATTTTTAAAAATATCACTTCTCAATTAGAATGTACAACAAATATATACCAGTACAAGCTGTACCTACCGACACTATATATTAAAATGATTCTAATCCATAAAGTACTTATTCTAAAATTGTTATCAACATTTTTTCTAAAAAAGGCTATTTTGAAATTTTGAAAAAATTAAAAAAAAAAGTTATTTATTTTATTATTAAAGATAAATAATAAAAATATGCTTTTAACATATCTAAGAATGCAAAAATTCATTTAAGGATAAAATGAATTGAAATTTTAATTATATCAAAGTTATGATTTGTCAGTTATATCTATTTCACTCTTTATTATAAAACTTTACTTAATACTTTCATACATAATATTTATAAGAGCATTTTAAGATGCACAGTATCTAACTTAGCCATTTTTTATATTTGGACCTAAATTATATATATATAAATTAGGGTAGTCATTGTGTATAAATACAGTATGGTTGATTTATTGTTTACCTCAACATTTCTTTTAAAATAGTAATAATTTTAAAAGTTTGTTTTGGATTTATGGGGTAGTACTTATTTTTTAACTTATAAGTTATGAAATATTTTTTTGTGTCTATCCCTTTTTCCATATAAGGATTTAAAGCGGTTTAACTTAAAAACCTATCTTATAAAATCTGTTAAAAATTTTATATGTACAATAAAGTATCATAATTTACTCTTTAATTCTAAGTAGATTTTCATTTTCTATGATAAATAAACATTTAAACAGTTCACTGTTTAACTGGCCAATTTTAATAAATTACACCAGTCAAGGACAGCAAAGCACTCTTTTCTGCCCTAAACATGTGTCTATGCTATAATCTCAAAGATAACTAAGGTGCAAGTGACCTCACTATAAAAAACATTGATGGTCCCTTTTAACCAATCTCATACTACTATCTACTGAATAACTTAATATATTTAAAAATTATATCCAGTCTCATTATTAATATTTTAAATTTTAATTCATAGTTTATAAATAAATTTTATATTTAAAAAAATATAAATAATGTATAAAATATTTTATATTTAATCCTATACTTTAGAATGGCGGAAGAAGACGAACATCAGGTGGAATTTTCTTTAACCTCATTAAAGAAGATTCTAGTATTCCAAAGTTAGCAAAAAAAGAATTATTTGGTTGTCAGGATGAAGAATTAAAAAAAAAGAAAAAAAGAGAAAAAGTTAAAAGGAAAATTAAGAAACTTAAACTACAAAAATTAAATGCTAAAAATACAGTAGAAGGTATTTATTAATATTCATTAAATTTTATATAATGAGTATTGTTATTTGAATATATAATTTCTTTAATATGATTTCTAAAATATTTTGATATTAATATATAGATTTATTATATTAGATAAAAGTTAAATTTTAAATTGTATATTTAAATTATGAAGTATTTTAGTAAAGATCAAAAACAAAAAAAATTGACTATCTTTATGCTTTTCAGCAAATGTTTGTATTTTATAGTAATTTAGCGTACAAACAATATAAAATATAAATTAAGTTTTTAAAATGTATTGTAGTTTCATATTAGGGTGACCATAAGCTACGTTGGTAGATTTTTTTTTATAATATTTACAAGTACAAACCCTAAAATTATTCGAATACTCAAAAAAAAAATTGTGCAGTAATTGGTGACAATCGGTCAATTCTAAGACGTGACCCAAGAGAGTTAAGAATAATACCCTAAAGGTAATTTTTTTGTTCATCTCAAAAACATTAACTTTTACAAAAAAGTTAATAAAGACTTTTTTGTATATACAATATTTTTCTATTAAAAATGTCTATGAAAATTTTCAAAAAATTGTTATTTAGCAAAAAAAAAAAAATGAATATGAAAATGTTCTATTTTTACTGTTGAAACAATTAATTTAGTTAATTTTATAAACCACACATCACAGAAAAAAAATGTACACATAAAAGTTGTTTTAAATTAAATTTTTCTACTATTTATTATTCACAAGGTACATTGAATAATTTATAAAATTATAGTAAACAAAAAAAATTCAGTCTTACAAATTAATAAAATACAAAAAACTACTTTATAAATAAAATAACATATTAAAATGAACTAAGTATTAAACAATTTTTTGTTTTTATATGTCTTGATATTAAGTGTTTGTATTTTAGCCAGGAATACAACACCGATATTCTGTAACAATCTGTAATAGGTATTGTTTTTGTGCTTCATCTTTTGTTAAAATACTATAATATTCTTTTATGAGTTTCACACCCCTCTCTGCTAATTAATTTACAATTTACAACTACACATTTGTGTAGTTATCTAGGTATATTCAGACAAGTTATCAAATAATTCAAATGCTGCTGTTTCTGATTCTAAGTACCATAAGTGACCGGATATTTATTTTAAAACTACTATAGAAATCTATTGTTTCATATTTAATCATACTTTTTATAAATTGTAAATCTAAATTTGCATTTGCATCTAACACAGCATTAGGTGAACTAAACCATTATTTAATATATACACTTAAAATAAAAATACACATCAAATGAATATTGTTAAATTATTTGATTAATAATACAAATTGATTTCTTAATAAAACTTCTTGGTCATCGAACAAGCATGATGAATAGGCTTAAGATGTTTAAAATAAATCTTATTCAGTGGTGATTCTCTAAAAAATATTATAACCAGTTCTAAAAAATCCTTATGTTATCTCGTGATTGGTATTGTTGTTAGTGATCAAAACACTAAATTTCAAATTATTATCTTTTATTATTTTTAATTTTTCTAAAACAACATTATCATCCATTCCGCTTAAATAATTTTTTTTATTTATATTTTGCCAAGACTTTTAAAATTTATAGAATATAGGAATATCTAATGCAGATAATAGATTAAATTTGATTTCAAAAATTTTACAAATTGACACACGTTAATTGGTCTCCAAAAACATATGTTTAAGCATAGTTTAGTCTTTAAACCTTAATTTTAGGTTAAGTATAGTCTTAAAATCTGATATTTATTAAATGTTAGCTTTAACAATATCATTTAAAGACTTAATTCACAAAAAATAATATTACTTAAACTAAATAGTTTTTAGTTTTTTATTAAAAGTTTTAAAATATTTAAAAAATTATCCCATTAATTAATATAACAAAATATTCTGTAAATTTAACTAAAATTTTAGTTCAAAAACTCAAGTATTGTATAAACTTACTAGATAAGTTGATACAACAGTTAAGTTTAAGAAAGTTGACACATAATTTATTTTTATATTTTTATTAATAAATTAAGATAAAATAAATATTTTACATTAAATCCTATATATGTTTGAAGCTATCAGTGAAGTTTCACAGCTCTATCTTAAATATTATTCGTATAAAAGCAAAAAATGTAAAAAAGGTGTTAACTAATACTAGTATAAATAAAACTTACCTGATTTTAAGAACTTTTCTTTTATTTGTGTAAAAATCAAATAAAAATTTTAATGTCTTGTTTATCTTGCTTTATTTTTAATATTACTGAATTATTAACTTGCTTAGGTTTTTCTAAGCAAAATATTTCGTTTTTTTTATATTACTGTATATGTAATACACTATAACTTATAAATCATATATAACAATAATAATATTTTTAATTTGTTAACAGAAAATGTGAATATTTCAAATGGTGACACTTTTGGCGTGCAAAATAATACATTTAATTTTGAACATTCTGATTTATAAATTTTATATTGTGTGTTGTATAGCAACACACATAAATAAATTTAAATATTTCAATACTTTATTAATTATTTCATTATAATTTTTGACTAAGTAGTCATTCTTTAAATTGAATTTTTTAAAAGTCTTTTTGAATTAAATTTAAACACTCATTTCCAATATTTTTTATGCTCTATAAAATAGTATGTAAACAGTATATGATACTGATACTTTTGGGGTAATAATTTAAATTTATTTGAATAATAAATCAAAGTAAAATTGTAATAAAAGAGAACAATTAAACTCAATTTGTCACTATAAAATAAAAAAAAAATTCTTTCAAGTTAAAAAATTATTCTTATAAATGGTTATATTTAATAATTGATATTTGGTATATGGTTAAGAGGTATGAATTTTACTATGGTGTAATTTTACTATTCATATTTATAATTTTTTTTTAATTTATTGAGATTTTTATTTTTTATAAATATTACACCTCATTTCTTATAAATACTGAATATTGAATAATAATAAAATTATAAAATAATATTTGTGCTCTGATAAAAAAAATAATTGAATAAATAACTGTGTTAGATAAAGATTATAAAATAATTCTGGTGGAGAGAGTATGAATATTATGAAGAACTAAAGAATTGATTAATATATTTAACTACCAAGCAATCTTTTATTTATATTTTTTTTCTGCGAAGTACTTAATAGAATGACATTTTTGAGAGTGCTAATTGCATTTTCTCTGACATTATATTGATTTAATTATTTTTAAAAAAGTTATGGCAATTTTAAGTAGAAATAATTTCGAAAATTAGCGATTTTTAAATTTGTAATTTTTTTGGAGATTTCCCCCATTTACGGGAACGAGGCAAATTTTTTCAATTTTTGAGGGTTATGTCTTCGACTAGATATGACTTTTGATCTTTTGACGTATCGTTTAAAGAAATCGGTTCGGTGAGAGCTTAGAAAAAGTGGTAACAGACACATAGTAAAACCAATACCTTCTCAGCATTGCATCGAAGCTATAATTCAAATGAATAAACATACAATGTATTCTGCAGAACCTAATATAGGAGTATGTTCTTGCAAAGATGGTATGCATAGTAAATTTTGCAAACATCAAGGAATAGTATTTAAATTTTTTAAAGAAGTGAGAGTTAACTTTTGAGCTGTTACTGTCGAAGACAAATATCTCATATCAGTATTAGCATTGGGTAACAAAACCCCTAAAAAATTTTTTTGAATTTAAAATATTTCTATTACATTAATATTTCTTTATATTATGAATATATATACTTGTTTATCTATTATCTATGTTTATGTTTAAAAATAACAAAATATTTCTAAACAAGCACTAAATATAATATTGTTATCACAGAGCTTGTATAGCCAATGAGAAGATTGTAATCGCTAAAAATTTTATTTCGTGTGCGGAATAGTAATATGCATCTGGGATATTTGTTTAAAAATATTCTTTTGATAGAAAAAAATAAATACATTTTTTATAAATTTAAAGTATTTTACAATGACAATTATTGAACGATTAGTTGGAGCATAACCATATTAACAAAAAAAGGTAGCACAGTGGGGTCGCGGCATAGTTGAGACAAATTCATTTCAGTTACACCGACATATTTCACTACTTAGCTTTGATGTTAAATTATAGAAAATTTTATAAGAGTTCTGAATATGTATAGAAAATTTTCTATAATTTAACATCAAAAGCTAAGTGGTGAAATATGTCAGAGTAACTTAAAAGAATAAGGATATACTACGGTAATAACAGTTCGTAGTGTATAAACGCACCAATCTGCCCACAGTAATTTGCGATCTAGACAATGTTCCGAGACGAATCCAGGTATTTTCTATACATATTCAAAAAGCTTATAAAATTACTAAGTGGAGTAATGCGGTTGTCGCCCTTAATATGCCGAGTTGGTACGGTGATGTATGTGACTTGGCGCGCATAGTTGTCATTATACGTCGACAGTAATTTGGAATTTTAAAGATGATCCGAGACGAGTCCAGGCAATTTGATTATACTATTAAAAAGCTGATTGAATTTTACACATTGTAATAATTACTAAGTGGAGAAATGCAGTGGTGGCCCTCAATTTTCTGAGTTGGTATGGCGGTGTATATGATAGTAAGTATATATATATATGATCCTACCAGGCGTCAATTCTTTGTTGTGTATACGACCACTGAATTGGTAAAGAAAAAGAAAAAGCGTGATACTGTATGATTAATTGGTAACCGAAATATGTTAGTGGTAAGAAGTTGATGGATCAAAAATTGTAGTTTCACACTTGTGTAAAATGAATACTTATTTAGCTTTGCATCGAAGCTAAAATAGATGATTACCGATTGGTATTTCTTTTCTATTAAATCATTATTAACTTCAAAATATGGTCAGTTTTACAGAATTTCACACCACATTTGCGGTATGAAATACTTTTTTTATTGTTCATATTTTAAAAATAAACTAACTAAAAAAACTGGTGCAAAAATTAACAATAAATAAATTTCAAATATAAAATGAATATTCGTACTTGTACTCTATTTTCGCTAAGGAGAAACAAAACTGGAAAGTGTTGTTAAATTTGGCGCGCTACAACGACATCATAACATGAAATAAAAATCAGTAAAGCATAATTGAAAAATAATGATTTTTCATAAAGACTTTTTTTTTTGAGTGGCGATACTGATCTGAAGCATGTTTTGGTTTGCTTATATTTATGAAAATTACACGTCTTGAATAAACGTTCATCATCTGGTTTTATCTTATCTGTGATAATACTATCGTTGAAGTTAATTATACCAATTTCTATTGATCTTGTAAACTTCTTGCATAGATTAAATACACATAGATAGACCACGCCGTACACAATTTTGGCAGTCCAATTTTTATCATGAATGGACGCAGGGAAACGATGCACTGGACGCAGGCGATTATGCTGATAGATAGCGTAAATTTTGAGTGCTTCTATTGGTTGAAATATACGTGGTATTTTATATCTTTAATAATTATTACATGAATGTATGATGCACATAATTAAACTGTTATTGTTATGCACGTTAATTGCATTTTATGACATAATGTAAGGTTATTTATGATTTTAACTCTTTGTAATTATTTTTCATTGAAATTTTATTTAATTTTAGCTTCGATGCGAAGCTGAGAAGGTATTTTT